CATTTATTTTTTCAGAGAAAACCGATGCCTGGGTTATTGAGGCATTGAATTAACCTGGTTACTTTCACCCCAGTTCGAAATCACTTCTAGATCCTCATTAAGATATGCAACCTCCTGCTGCCGGTGAAGATGTGCCTCCGTAGCCAATGTCCTGGAATCCAAATGGAATTACGAGACAAGTGTGCTGTCGTCAGCAAAGCAATATATTGGATTCTTGTTTTTTTCCATTAAGTCGTTGATATACAATGACAAGAGGGTGGGAGACAATATGGATCCCTGGGGAACACCAGCATTGATAGTTAAAGTATTCGAGAGATATCCATCGACGGCCACTTGCAGGGAACGTTCTTTCAGGGAGTTGGAGAGCCATACACAGAAATGATTCGACAAGACATAGCATCGAAGTTTGGCCAGCAAACCCTCATACCATACACGGTCAAAAGCCTTAGAAATATCAAGCTCAACAGCCTTTGATTCTCCATGATTCTCCAGAAGGTTGCCTGTTGATCTTTGTTTCCGAAGGCCACATTGATGATCGCTCAAGATGTTGAAGCCTTCCAAATATTTGAGTGGTTTATAACATTCTCCATGATTTTTGATATCACTGTGGTCGACTGTGGAGTGGGATGCAAATTGTTCAGCTAGAAACATTAACCTTTGAAAGCGGAGTATATAATCGATTGATTGGATGTTGCTCTAGGTGTTCTAAATCTTCTTTCAGTTACACTTGGAAGGCAGTTGGAAATCAGTCAATGGATTGTCCTGTAGAAACGCAGAAATGCAATCCTCTGACTTATATTTTACTAGTTCGGACTTCCATTGTCTACTATATAAAATGATTTGAAATCCCTGAAACAAGTAAAAAAAAAGAATTAAAAATGAATAGCTGAAAATAACAATTATATTAAGCAAAATAAACCTGAAATGAAATAATAATAGTAGTAGTACCAGGCCACCAAACGCGGACTGTAATTCCAAGAATTGCATTTACCGGATACCCTGTGAATGCGGAAAATCTTATATTGGAGAAACTAAGAGGCCATTGAATGTTCGCATTGCCGAGCACAAGAAACACACACAGCGAGGGGATACCAGCAAATCAGGAATAGCAGACCATGTTTGGAACCATCAACATAACATCGAGTGGTCCCAAGTTGTAATCTTGCACAGAGAGGAACATTGGTTTAGGAGTAAGTTGCTGAGGTGTGTACAGTTTTCTGGTTCGGAACAGTGTTTCGAACTTTTGAGAAACAGTCTTCGCAATTCCAGCGAATTGATTGTGCCAAGACATATTGGTGTCCATTTTAACTCACAACAAACTTATCGAAGCAGAAAGCGGAATTGTCTGACCAGACATTATTATATCCGGTTCTGAGACATTTATCTTTTCAGAGAAAACCGATGCCTGGGTTATTGTGGCATTGAATTAACCTGGTTACTTTCACCCCAGTTCGAAATCACTTCTAGATCCTCATTAAGATATGCAACCTCCTGCTGCCGGTGAAGATGTACCTCCGTAGCCAATTTCCTGGAATCCAAATGGAATTACGAGACAAGTGTGCTGTCGTCAGCAAAGCAATATATTGGATTCTTGTTTTTTTCCATTGAGTCGTTGATATACAATGAAAAGAGGGTGGGAGACAATATGGATCCTTGGGGAACACCAGCATTGTTAAAGTATTCGAGAGATATCCATCGATATTTTATTTCTTTTTTTTAGTTGTTTCAGGGATTTCAAATCATTTTATATAGTAGACAATGGAAGTCCGAACTAGTGAAATTCATCATGAAACATTGTCGATCACCTTCAAACCTCTAAATATTATTATTGCTGTTAATGGAATCAAAATTATTAGTATTTGAGAAATATGAAGGAAAACACCTTTACTTGTAGGTCTGAAAACCAAAAAGTAATACGTGGAAGTATGTGTAAGTAAGAGTTATCTAGATCCCGAGATACAAGGCCTAAGAGAGATGTATTATTGTTTGAATTTTTGAATAGATTGAACTCAGAGACATTTTTTTTGTTTGATCAGCTGATCACCAGAGAAAATTATTTTTTCTTCTCAACCCCAATTCAGACTATGATCTCTAGCTGAAATGAAGCAGAGAAATAGAAAAGGCATAACTCATAATCGATTTTTTTTTGGAACATTAAGTTATAATGCTGGGAAAGAACAGAGTAGAAAGATAGATTAGTCTGGGCCACAAAGTCCTTTTTTTGTAACTTCTGTCCAAAGGCACCGAAAATTATGATTCAGAGCTCATTCCATTCGGAATGACCTCTAGCGACTTTTTGGAAAATTTCAAGAGGTACATTTTTTTTTAATATTCAAATTTATTCGTATTCGTATCATTTAAAGTTACATGAAAATTATTTTTCATAATTTTTAGCTCTATTTAGCTAATTGTTGTGAATAAATGTATTGTTCATAAGATATTTGAAATTTTTTTGGGGGATTTTCATCAGTGATGAATATTATGATTTTTAAAAATAGAATCGTTTCTTAAAAAATTGTTTCTATTGTTAGAAGACGCATTTGTTGATTAACATTTTTTTCTGCTACTAAATATGATTATAAAGAAACAGTTTTTCTTTTGAAAATCATAATTTCTATTTCTCTTGGGTATTTTGAAAAATTCTTTTTTAACTTTTACTTTCTTTATTTATTTAATAAACAATTTGTTTTGAACAAATTAATTTTTACGATATATTTTTTTTAAATATTACAAAAAATAAAAACAACGTCAAACGCAAAAATAGAAAAATATCAAAAAAATTGTAAAAATCGAGACATTTTCTTACACAAAAAGTGACACATGGAAGCTAAATAGAACCGTTCGATTTGTAATAAAAATGAGCTTCATCTTTGACAAATATGATGTTGGGAAACAATATTGGATCAAACACCTAACAGAAGTGTACTCCTCAGAAGTGTAATATACGCATATAATCTGCACATAAAATAAAGTTAGGATAGGAAATATTTTTGTTGTTGATAATAATTCTCACTTCCATCTACACCGGGTCATGTAGACTCATTTTTTTTTCAGGATTAATCACATTTGGATTTGAAACGTGTGGGGGAGTACAGATTGGAAATTTATCACAGTGTCGTATGAAACCTGATGAAGTATTTCTTGATAAGAGTCCATTGAATTTTTTCTTTAGTTATCAAATCAGAAATAAATCACATATTAGTTCAATATAAATATACTCCACTGATTAAAAATACAGACACATGTGAACTGTTGTATACGAAAAGCATTGAAACGAATGTAATTTATTTGTAAGATCTGAGATTAGGATTAATACTGATAGTAGTGATTTTAGTATAGTTTTAGTTCTTACGAAGAGCCTCTGACAATGTTCTGAACGGTTTGTTCCACATTTTTGTCTTCATCCATAATTGTAAAGCAAAGTAGAACACATTTTTGGCCTCCTATCAAGATTTTTTGAGGGAACAAGTGGATCCAGATGAATAGTACATCAGTGTTATTATTTTTCGAGTTTGAAGACCGTCAGAGGTTTATAAATCCTGAGTTAATCTCCGATGACTGGATATTACGGCTGTGTAAATTGTTGATAACATTCGTCGATCTTTTTCTACCTGCCGTCATCCAATCATCGGTTCTGTATCTGTAGAGTAGGGAGGGTGAGTATAGACCCACAGCACTTAGTCCACATGTGACCCATTGTACATCCTCCCGAGGAGTTGTCCTCCTAGGTCATCGTCCATCCTGTCCTTTCCAGGAAGGTGGACAGGTCACTAGGACACATCTCCTTCATATTGGCAGGTGTAGGCCAAGACTCGCCGAACACACACTCTCTTTGGCAACCTTGAGGTGTCTCACGGTGGCCTCCACGAAGGTTTTGGAAGGTGCAGCGACATTACAGTCATTGCGCGGTTTCTTCAACCTTCTTGGAGTTCCCTCCGTGGAGGTGCAGAAGTGAGGGAGCTTTCCTGCAGGAGCAGCTGGTCCCTTGCCTTTATTCAAAGCGGAGCTCTTGGCGCCCGCCACAGCAAGTGTCCTTGCCTTGGAGGTGGAGTGGGGGAGGAGGAGGGTGCACTTATAGTTGCTGCCACTCCTGCCTCCTCCGCTCTCTTTCTCCTTTTGGCCTCGGCGCTGCAAATACGCTTACGCCTTGGCCTTTGTATTACATCACGAGGTGATCTGCTTTGTCCAGTCTCATTCCAAGGGGTAGATTGGGGTGGACATTTCTGTTCATCCCCATCCACCGCCTCAGATTGAGGTGAGCTCTTCTGTCCAGCCTTGGGATTGATTTTTGTTTTTGTTGTTTCTGTTTTTGTGTTTGTTTCATTCATGTGTGTTCCCTCGAGTAGCAAGGGAAGAGTTGGTCACCTCTGGCAGAGCCCCGCATTACCAGAAGTAGGCTGATTACAACGAAGTTTCGCCCAATTCCTCAAGGGGATCGTTCGTAACCGCCTATCACTCTGCGGCCATTCAGCTGTCGGCACGATTTCTTACACCTTAGTTTGGATAGGCTGGTCCACGGTGGAATATTTCGCAAAGACTTTTGGGGAGTTTTATTTCCCCTTACCCTGCTTATTTCTGCCACTAACCAGGAGTCCGGCGACCCCGTCCGTAAGGACACATTGGCTTCCCCGACAGGGTAGCCCAACCCACGGGAATCATCGGATATAACTCAAGATGTATGAACCTCCGAAGATGTTAGCCACTCACCTCGGCGAAACGTCAGGAAGGATTTCCAAAAATCTACTGTCTTCAAACCAGAAAAATAGTGCTTTTTCCATAATGCTGGAGCAGAGTCGAGTATAGGAAAAATTCTGGGCCACCTGTCAATATTTGTTGTTCGAAAAAAATTACCCAAACGGAAATTCCAATAGATGGAAATAGTTTTTTCAACTATGCATTTCATTTTGTTGGGGCACATGAACGGATTGGGCCAGTTCCAGTCTGTATATCGTGGATATCTAACGACAAACATATAAATATGAGGAAAAACTAGTACATTTTTTATTTAATTTTGTGTAGAGATTATACATTCTTCTGAGAAAAATATGAAGAATTCATCGATTTTCATCTTTGCAGCCCTTTTGGGATTTGTCTGTGCCTCCATCGATAGAAGTAAGACTATTGAGAATCAATATTTGTTGTTTAATTTTTCACAAGCTACACAACTTTATAAAATAATTGAAATGTACCTCGAAAAACCGGAAAATAAATTCAAAAATATTTGTCTGAAATGATTTTGTTGAAAATTTTTACGATTATTTTGAAGATCTTCTTCATTTTTCTAATTTGTTTCAACCATTCACTGCTGAAATTTCATGTACACTCGATGATTTCCAAAAAGTTGTTGATAACTTCCTTGAAGTATTTTCAACATCTCCTCTAGATATATTCGAGTAGGGATGTTGAAAATTAGTATTCTGTTGCTGAATTCACGCGTATGATGCAGAACTTTTCCACACATATCTGGATTGCAATCCATTTAGTGATATTACGACACATTCGCATTTTTTCCAGGACTTGAAGAAGACAAGAAATTGAGAGATATATTCTCCGATTTGCTCAACAACACATTTAACGGTATCGTGCAAAGTATGTCAGATCCTCTGAAAATTAAAGATATCAGCATCGAGTTCAAAGACTCTGAACTTCTGAGGTGAGTAAGTAATAAATATGCTAGTTGCTAACTCGATTACGACTCTGCTATAAGCGATTGGCCAGTTTTTGGTGACCTGATCATCTTTTCTGTGGCATTCAAGGTGTCCTATTCGAAGTGATGACTAAAATGCCTTAAACTATTCCAATAAAAGTTTATGATATTAATCGTATCATGACGGACAACAATACATATATTTTGAAACAAGTACTTAGGAAGACATTTACAAAATATGATAAACGAGAAAACGGATACAAAATGGACTTTTCGCTCCCACGTCGTTGAGAGCAAGAAATCATTTGAAACTTATGTTGAAGTATATGTGTAGAGTTGGCTCAACTACGCTCTCCGTGATAAGGTTCTAGATTGATCAGAGAACTCTATAATTGTAAAATGAGCTATTTCTACAGTTCTCAGAGAAAGCTCCGATTTTGATTTCTTATATGTAGTTTTTGTTTTCTATATAGTTTGAAATCAGAATGGAGAATGGACGGAATTAATCATATTGTTCAAACAATGTGAATTATATTCATATATGAAATACGGTTTTGCATCAGTTTTTTCGAAAAAATTCTCTGTATATTCATTAATGTAACAGATATTTACACGTTAATAATAACACCCACTTTGAAGTTGTTTTTGATGGATATAATAGTGGCGGAACTAAAACAACCGAGAGAAATTGTATAAATATGAGTGATAAGTCAATCGATTTGAAAGAGACATGCCTTCAAAGGAAAATTTTCAGAAAACAGATGCATTTTGTTTCGGAATCTCTGAAAAAAATTACTTGTCTCTGCTGTCAGTCATTTTGAAATATTCTATTGGTTTACAATTCAAACTTTGAAGCTTTCTTGTAGTCATTCTAGAATAACTCGTGGGAGAGAGAGAGGTTGGGTTAGGTTAGGTCTAAAGTGAGTGGGTCTATTCGACTCTCCACCGCAAAACGCAAGGGTTTATTGTGGCTCACACTTATTCACCATCGACCAAATAAATCCAGCTTCTTAACGAAGCCGATTAGTGTGTATGGTGAGCGGTCTTTCAGGTCAGATGGTAAGAGTACGGCTCTGCCGAACTCTAAGAACCTGATTCGGGCTCCAGCGGGGCATGCACAAAGTTTGTGCTCTGCTGTTTCGTCATTTTCCAAACAGAGGCGACACACACTGTCTTCCGATAGTACGATTCTCTGCATATGATGATTCAAATGACAGTGACCTGTAAGAAGGCATGTTAGACATCGTAGTTCATCCCGACTGTAGAACAACAACTGTTTGGTATCAAGCTTCGAAGGGTGAATAAAGGCGTTGGATGAACTCCCAGGATAAAATCTGTTTTCATCGCAACGAAACTGCTGTGTAATGAAATTCATTTCTTCGAAAATTGTGCTGAAACATACCGTGTGATTGTTGTTGGATTAAAATGTTCTAACTGTGACAAAAGTGAAGTTAGTAAGGATGAAGGCCTAGAGATGTCATCTGATACAATCAAATGTTTGAAGAATCTTGAACAAGCCGTTTCATTTGTGCCTGAAAAATTTGATGATTTGATGACGGAGAACAAACGAGTCCTGGCTAAAATGCAAACTCTAGAATAATATCGTTCTTGGATCACTTAAGGTGTCATTCAGTTTAACTATTTGTGTTCTATCTGAGAGATAACTGCGAAAGACATTCAATACTGTCCCACGTACTCCATAACATTCCAGTATATGGAGGAGCTTTTCATGATTCACGGTATCAAATGCTTTCGTTAAGTCAAGAAACACTGCGATATATTTCTTATTAGCATCTAATTTTTCAGTTACTTATATCATATGCAATTCCACAGGGATCTATTCTTGGTCCATCGCTGTTTCTAATTTATATAATATCAATTCCTCGACTACCCTTCGCTGATGATAACTGCCTGTTATTTTATAGAATGAATAGCTAGAATAAATAAAACCCGAGATAGGAGGTGACAAAGAATTGATGAGGAAATGGTTGAAATATATTGAGGTAGTTCTTATTTGGTTGTTAAAAAACAAAGAATGGGATCAACTGCTTATCAAAAAAGGAGATGAACTACTCGAAATGTATAATTGTATCAAATATTCAGCTACTTATTAATTATACTGAAGAAAAACTATATATCATTACTCATTAATGAGTTCACATCTGTCTTATCTAACTCTGGTAAGAAATAGAACTTGCTGTAATGAGTTGAAGCTCCTACAGGTCATTCAAAATGAAGTTATCCTGGATATATTCCTTTTTCGTTGTTCAACCAGCCTTCTTCACAAGCCAATCAATATTTTGGATATTTACCCACTTACTGTTTGCTTGTACGGAAACAAAATCTACCCAACAATAGAATTTAGTGTATTTGAAGCAACTCATGATTATAGCACCATAAATGAAACTTCCTTCACTTCACTACCAGGACTACTGCAACTGACCGGAGTATACTTTTTGAAAGGTTGCGATTGTATAATTATTTACAGATTCATATGGAATTGTTGGAAATTGAAGCCTTCAAATCATCCCTCAGGAAGTGTTTGATACACCAACTGTGATTTGTCTATGATTTTATGTATAACATATTATATTGTAACTGTTGCAACATTTCTTTTATCTTTTTTTGGGAAAGTTTTTGGCTTTCTACTACTTCATCTGGATACAAAAAAATGTGGGAATCTTCCAAAGAAAGGAAGGAAGTAATCAATCTGGAAATAAGTAACTTTATACATGGATATGTAGATCATGAAAAGAAGCAACTTTCAGACAGAAACTGGAATAAAGTCCTCCTGAAACAGCTACTTTCATATAAACATTGAATTACACGAAAGAAAAAATTCTTTCGAAACAATTACTTTTATATGAACACTGAATTATATAGAAGATACTTTTCTCTACTCAGTTTGTATCCTAAGTATTCATTGAATAACATTTTTCTCGGTATTATTTTGAGAATTAGTGTAATGGTTTGAATTTTCATTGTATATTTTTATATGGGCTCTGGGTCTGAAACTGTAATTTGTACATGCATGTTTTATGAAGTACCATTTCTGGTATGTTACTAAAACCTTCAGTAGAAGGGAATTGATACTGAACCGCTTCTGGTATCTTATTACCAGAATATAGCTTTTACAGAATTGGACTTGATTCACTTGATTTTGATATACTATATTATCCAAATATTATTATTCATTATGAAATCACAGTCGAGGGAAAATAGATATAAAATTTTTATTTTTTATCAGACTCAACAAATATTGACATTATCGACTTGTTGTTCTGCTAACAATATACTGATATATCATCCGACCATTATTGGGAAAGATAACTGATACGACACGGCATATCATATTAATGCATCGACAAGTTTGTTGAAATCATCAATCATTATGATAAAACTAAGGTGACATTCAATAATGATTTAGGATATAACGTACATATCGCCTGAATTATATCCTTTAGTTGAAGGTTATCGGTTTGCTAGGTCAAAATCAAAATCAGACAGATAATTTGATTATAGTTTTTTTAAGGACAAAACACAAGCACTACAGGAAAATTCTTAGAGTGCTCTAAAAGCGGTGCCTGTGCGAAAGTAGCGATTAACGTTGGATTTGAATTGCTGGAGAATGAATTCATTTGGAAAAACGTTCTCAGGGAGTTTATTCCATATGAACGCAGTTCTCCAAATGGAGAGTTCGTAAACAGTGGAGTTGTAGGTGTACTGAGTTGAACCTCAAAAAGATGATATTTATAATATGAACCGCTCTTGGTGCAATCAAATGTGCCAAGTCACTCGAACACTTCCCGTGAAAGTATCTATAGACGAGAAACAAATCCCCAACCTTTCTCGATGTTCCAGACTATCAAGGTTGCAAGTGATGTTGGCGTCTCCAATCAGGCTGATAGCTCTTTTCTGGATGGAATAAAGCAACTTTAGTTTATGCTTAGGGGCGGAGCTCCATACATGAGAACAAAAGTAGTTCTGATCTGAGCTTTATAAAGAATCAAAAGTTGCTGGGGTGTGTACAGTTTTCTGGTTTGGAACAGTGTTCCAAGCTTTTCAGAAGCATCCTCTGCAATTCCAGCGACAATGGTGTCCATTTTAACCCTCAACGAACTTATCGAAGCAGAAAGCGGAATTGTCTGTCCCGACATTATTATATCCGGTTCGGAGACATTGATCTTTTTGGAGAAAAGCGATCCTGGGTTTTTGTGGCATTGAGTTGAACCTGGTTAGTTCCACCCCCAATTCGCAATCATTCCTGGATCCTCATTGAGATATGCAAACTCCTGCTGCCGGTGAAGATGTGCATTCGCAGCCGATGTCCTGAAATCCAAACTGAATGACGAGACAAGTGTGCTGTCGTCAGCAAAGCAATATATTGCATTCTTCGTCTTTTCCAATAAATCATTGATATACTCAACATGAACGTTTTATCTTCTTGTTTGTTTTTTATACGAAAAGATCGCCTTAGTGAATTTGCTGATGCTTCATTGATTAGGGTTTGGGCAGGTATTTGACAAATAACCGTACAAAAGAACAAAGAAGAAGATAAAACGTTCAGTTTGAGTATAACCATGAAAATGATTGCACAGTCTGCTTTCGAAAGCACATGTATGTATATAAGGTGGATAATCTTAGCGACTGGGGAAATGTACAGTAAAAGGGATTAACGGGGTCTCTCGGTCAAAAAATCAAAAATCAAACTTGGCTCTACTTTGCCAAGCTTTCGTTTCTAATAGGAAGCTTCTTCAGGGCCTATAATTTAATGAGTTGTGGATTTTTTCGCCATTGAATAACATTTCAAATCATACTTACAGTGAAAATGAGTGAAAAACAATAAATGAATATATAAAATGACGAAAAAAGTTGACATGTATAGGATTTTTTTGGGTTTGACAAATGTCATACCTTCACATAAATGTGACTCTTAAGAAAGAGTTACTGATTGATACAATTTTCATTATTATTATGTTTTTGATGTAGTTCCAGTAAATTACTGTATATACTGCCGTGATTATCAATGTCAGTTTTCTTATTCATACAATCAGAAGACTTATTAATTTCAACCATTTCAAGAAAAATGCGTTTGTAAATATTTTTTTGTGTATGTAAAACTTTGGTATTAGAGTAATTTGGTTTATGTCCTGTTTCTATAGATCAGTGGAGGAGCAAATGTTACAAAAGTGTCACTATTAGGAATTTCAAGTTTAGTAGCACCTTTTATAAAGGTTGACATTTTGGGTTTGAAACTCAGTATGGAGATTTTGTTACCTGATATTCTTCTTGCTTTCGACTATTGGCTGGATATTTTGATAGCAGATGTGCTTCCTTTTTACGGATCAGGAACAAATACGTGAGTTTCCAAAATATCATCTAAAATCAAATTGGAGTATTTGATTTTTAATAATCATCGTTATATATTTTCAGCGTTTCCCTTGATAACATTTCCTTGAATGTAACAGGACGTGTAAATATGACCGGCGGAATGCATGTCCAGAATTTAACGGTCGTTCTACAAATTGAAAAAGCGAACGTAAGTATAAATTTGCTGTATCTATAGGCAATGTCATCAAAATATCCTATTCGTTTGAAATACGAATATATTCTATTATTATGAAGTAGGATATACATATGCAACAACTTCTAAAAAAATTAAGAGGGTTTCTTCCGAAATTTAGATATCTCACAGAATTTATGAACATCAGACAATTGAAAATGATTTATTTCTCGCTAGTTCAATCACATCTTACATACGAAATTTTTAGATGGGGTGGGGGTGTTAGTGATTGTTTTACAGAAAACGTAAATGTGGTTCAAAAATGGATTCTGAAACTAATATTTGCCAAGACACGTTACTATAGTAGTGATCTCTTATGTAAAGAAGCTCAAATCATGGACATCAGACAACTTTTCTCCATGGAAATATTATTACTCATTAAAAATAAAAAAAAATATATTACAAGTTTAAGAACATGCTCATAATACACGAAATAATGATTCTACATTTTTATCCCGATGTGACAAAACGGTTGGACAACGAAGTATCAATTACCTGGCACCAATAATATATAAGCAAATACTTCATAAGATTCAGAATATTGGAAAATTTAGAAAATTCAAAAATTCTTCAACTGTGTTTATTCTCAAGACGAGACGTAATATTTTTAGTAATATGATAAATTCAAAGTGAGTATTTGGAAGATTCACCTCCTGTTTGGAGGTGGATGACAA